CTCGCGATGGTTCTCGGGTAGAGGGAAAGGAGGTGCCAAATATGCTAGCTTTTTCAGAAATAGAAAACCGGAAAACCTCGCAGGGAATCGACGACAGCAATGAACAACACGACGGGACAAAGCAGAAAGTAGAGTGGCTGCAGGAACACCAACTTGACCGGACGGCTACCAATGAGACCAGTAAAAATCCTGAGTAAAATCAGTAAATTGAAATTGAGACAGGCACGTCTCAGGTAAGTTCCTTACCTGAGACGTGGCGACAAATCAGGATGAGACTATTGTACAAGGGTAAAGGGGACAAGGACAATATCAAGTCATATCGCCCCATAACTGTAACATCTGTTCTTTACCGAATTGGTGGAAGCAGACCATGGAAAACTGAGATAGATTAAAGCAGCTAGCACGACTGGGGAGAGGGAGGACATGGGCAAATGGGGACTCCCTCCCGCGTGGCTCCGGCCCGAAGTCTCAACCCTGTCACCAGTGCCGTATTAAGGCATTTGGGGGCCCTGGGCCTAGGCTGTTATGAGGCCTCTACCTATGATAATGGTGGGGGTGGAGGTAACGATGACGACGGGAATATGCATAGTTTTGAACTTATTAAATCTAGATATGTTTCATCCTATGATTATTCTCAAGCCTTGTCTAGATCCGTAGATTCAATGGAATTCAAGCTTTCCTTGCTGGCGTTGAGGCGGACGCGATTGTTTAGAAGCTACTTCGCAAATAATCAACCGCTCTAGAAATTTACAATATAGTAATTTTGAGGTGGAAAATATTAGGATTTGTCGTTCACATCCAGCAACTTAACCACAAAAACAACAACAACAACAAAAAACACTAAATTGTTTCCGTTTAAAATGTTGATTCCGTTCATGAATTTGTTTGACTAGAATTACAGCTAGATTCATAAAGTACATGCCCGGACCAGTTTGTACAAATTGGTCACGATGTCGACTTGTAGCACAGGTGACCCTCTTGCTAACATGTCGAGTGACATCATTAATCACACATGAATTGAGTTATGCAACAACCGAAAAGGTACCTGCGAAATTCCCATTCTAATTTCGCTTCCCCTAAATGGCATGTCTCGCAAATCGACAACTGCCACGAAAATTTATAACCAGTAATCTTGTAATTGCCCCAAATGATTGGAAATGTTTTAACTTCTAACTAGCCCTCTGTTAATTAATTACTGGTGTGAACAGTGAAGGAAGTGACATAGGCAAGAGAGAAATTTTGTTGGTTGAAGTAGTCTTTATCGGGGCAAACAGACTCCCACATTTAAAGCATAGAAAAAACTGCGTGCGATTCTAAGACATCGACCGCTGTCGTTCGGACACATATGCATTTAAAGAATTTATCATGAGAATCGAGATGTCTTTTTGTCTTTTTGAATGGGGAAAATGTTTCGCATCAGATGTAGTGCTAATCTTGTTCTTTTTAAATGCAGTAATTTAGACCTCGGCGGGCATTTTGTTCTGTGACTCAACGTTAAAAAATAAGAGGTTATATCTCAGAGGTTGGTGAAACCATTGCAGTATTCGTATCAGTCGCTGAAAGGAAGAGTGTTCAGTTGCACTGGCAGACCAGAGAGTCAGTACCCTTCGAAAACTGTTGAGGCGCGTCTTATGAGCCGGCTCCTTGAAACGCCTCTTTGTTGGTGGCTATAGAGACGGTGCCCGGAAGATTTACAGGCACCTTTTCACTTCTTCCAAACTTATCGTTCTTTGATGAACTTCATATGGAGTTTCCCGAAAAGGTTTAAAACAACATGTGTGAACCATCTGCGTTGCTTGCTTGACGCTTGCTTAACTTCCTGCCCACAATTGTCCGTAAAACACGCTAAGGGGGCTCCAGTACAAAAGAAAGCTCCATAACCGTCCTTCCATCAAGCTCAAATTAAAAGAAAAAAGTCTTACAAGGGGCATGGGAGGCCGTGTTAAATTTTGTTGTTCTGGCACGCCCTTGTACTACAAGCTCACAAACGCCAGCTGATCTAGAGACGGGAAATTTATGGCATCATTGTTTCCTTGTTGAGGAAAAGAGAACGAGAAGGCCATTGCGCCAGAGGCCCTTTGGAATGTTTCATCTGCTTTCTGCCTAAACTTTCTTAAATAAAAAAAATTAAAAGAAGACTAACATTTTAAAATTTTTAGGGGCCAGCATGGGGCCCTCTGACAGCCTGGGGCCCAGGGCTGCAGCCCCCTTAGCCCGTACCTTAATCCGGCCCTGCATGTCACCCAGTGGTTCTGATTTTGGGAGTACCGATAAAATAGGTTAACCAGAGGAAAATGGACCTTGGGCAGAAACATCGGTACGAGAGTTAAGTGGATCTAGTAATCTCTCTCTCTTCCTTCTGGCCGAGCAGAGATGGAAGATGGTTTCTTTGTGTCGACTTCGGGGCATAAGCTAATCCACGATGGGGACAAAGGCGAGTTTGGGGGAGCCGTCCCAGCGGCTCGATGGGCGAACAGGATGTGTAAAAATTCAAAAGCGCAAACACCAAGGAAAAGTGTAGCCAACTAGCCCAACAGTTAATTTTGAACAGGATGTGGCTGACATTTTGGGTGTCGAACGGGTGGGAGACCCCTTGCGCGCGCTTTGTTTTCTAGCCACTTAGTCTCGAACCCAGTCGCGTGTCTAGGTGGCAGCACATATTCGCCAAAAGGAGGATTGGCGACTCCCTCGCCGGGGGGAAGGCGGGAGTGAGTTTTCTATTTTTCTTCTTCCTTTGTTTTGTCCGATCCCCGAAGATCATCCTGGTAGTTATTTCCACCGACCCGGTGATGATTGCAGAAATACAGAAGGGGGTATAAAGATTGTTTAGGATAGGTGGCGAAAGCTATCGCCCGTTACAAAGGGTACAGCCGCTAACATCAGAGCCGTATATGTTATAAAGAATACAGCCGCTAACATTAAAGCACTATATAGCTCCTACATAGCAGAGTAGCGCAATTCTTTGATCCGCGTGTTTCGCCGGCAACATGGCCGACAGAGCAGCTCGGCGCGAGTCACGTGGTACTCAGGGTACCAGGAAGCGGCCCGCCCTATGGGAGAATACACGGAGATCGACTCAACACGGCTGATTAAAAAATAAACGCAAAGTTCACACTTTTCGAAACCAGTCTGTCGTGAAGTTGGTAAAGCACTAAACACTTTATCAAAGTTTTAATAATATTGGATGCGTGTGAAATTTTGCGAAGGCAATTTTCAAAGCAATGGCGTTTGAAGCAGACGATTGTTTTACGCAGCAGCGATGGACTTTATGGATGTGACGTCGCCGCGTCGTCTGCTGTATGATGCTGCTCAGGCAATCTTAAAAAATAAATAAATAATGTTATTTCATGGTTCACAACTTGGCGCAAATTATTGTAAACTATTCCCTTATTATGTCAAAAACTATTGTCGTACCGTAGATCCCCAAAATAATCAGAAAGCAGCGATTTTCTCACGTTCCCCATGCATTTGTGGCCGGAGTTGGAACCCCCGGGCGTTCGCCGCTAGTCGCCGAGAGACGGCGTTCTAGGTTGCGCTACTCTGCTCCGACGGAGCTATATAGCGCTCTAGCTAACACCAAAAACGCAATCCCTCCACCCCCCCCCCCCCCCCCCCCCCCCCCACTCCCACTCAAAAACACGTTAGTACACAACGTTGTTGGTACACTACTGGTTACCATGTCTGCTCAGGTGTCTCCGCGCGCTCTCGTCTCCTTGATTTCTCGGCGCATAGTTTCAACCTCGGCACAAAAGTAGTTTTGAATTACGCGCTAAATCGACGTCACCGACACGAAATGGCCAGCCAATCGCGCCGCGACGATGCTACGACGCCTCCTCCGATCCAAAACGACCGTCAAGCCGTCAAGCAGAGCCGTCAAGCCGCCGGTCGAAAATAGTCGAAAAGCGATAGGCCTCCTGCGCTGAAGCTTTGAACAAACTGTAGCGCCCTCATTTTGGGTAGTACAAGCTCACCTGATTAAGCCTCGCACTACTTATGGAACGTTGGTTGATCTTTTTTAATTCTGTGTGGTTTTGAAGAACGAAAAAACACCTTTGGACGTCAGAAATGGGCCTGACTCAACGCCGCAAGACAATCGAAAGTGCCAAATTCATGACACCACCGCAAGGGCACGCGTCCCTTTTGTCTGGGTGGTGACGTCAGAACACCTGTGCCGCAACGCTTTCATTTTGTTTTCATTTTCATGTCTACTTTGGAACGCGTGAAGCGGCCTCTCTTGGCTCACGCCCTTACCGCTCATTCACACTGGAAGCGGATCCGCGCTCGCAAAGCGGTTGCGAACGCGGTTGTATAAAGATTCAGTACAATTGCACGCGCACTCGATGACATCAAGTGCGCGTGCAATTGTACTGGATCTTTATACAACCGCGTTCGCAACCGCTTCGCGAACGCGGATCCGCTTCCAGTGTGAATGAGCGGTTAGCGTTTTAGCTTTGACGGCGTTCGAATTTTTGTTGTCTCTTTGTATTTTAATTGCGATCTCGCGCTCCGAACCAGAGCAGGCACGCTTCTGCATGCGTGACAGTTGGTGACGCTAAAATTTGTACTACCCAAAACAAGTCCTAGCAAGTCCCTTTTCGCAGCACCCCCTGGGCAACGCAGGAGGCCTATGGGCCCACACCACGTTCAGCAACACCTGCGGAAGTCAGTTTTTGCCAGCTTTTGCCGTCTGGTGGAAAAAGCCACTGACTCTGACTCCGCGCTGCGGCACCTCACCGTGTCACCGTGTCACCGCTATGAACTGTGCCCATGGTCTTGTCCGGGCCGGTCCGCGATTGGCTCCAAAATACACAACCGCCGTGAAACGCAGCATGTTTTAAAGACACCTAATGAAAAAAGAAAAAAAAAAGATACTTAAAGAAATCTATTTGATCAAAAGTAAACTAAAACTAAACAAAATGCTCTCGGCCTACGGGAGTTTGAACCTAAATACAGCATCGCCCACACTGGCACTCTGGCAACCAGGACATTGCAAAGTTTCGGAATCGTAAGGGCTACTTTGGCTGAACCGTACTGCACGCTTTGCGCGTTGCTTCTGCGGGTTGTTCTCTTTCGGGTCGCTGTGGCCTCACACCATTTGCCTTTGAGGTGAGTGGTATACGCAAGCATGATTCTTTTCAACGTAAGTGTTCTACCATCGTCCCAAGGCACACGCGGCAGTGAAAGGTTGGCAAAGTTTCTGATGGGCCGTCAGATGATGGCAGTGTGTCCCCACCAAAACACAAAAGTTAGTAGTGTTTTCACCGCAAAACGCATCGCCGAGCGCTCATTCTTCGCTCAGATGTAGCGCTAGTGATCCGAATCAAATGCCAAAATGTCAGCACTAACTGTGGTCTTAATCAAAAGTGTTCTTTTTTTTAGTAAATCTGTGCACGACAAAGTGCGTATACGCCTCGCAAGTGGGCTCATTTTCGTCTTCTGCGCATGAGAAAGGAAGTAGTGGTGACGTCAGAACGCCGAGCCCTGATTGGCTGATCGCGACCCCCTATCTCAGCGTCGTCTGCTCCTTTGCGACGTCGTCTGCTCGCAACGTCGTCTGCGACTGTCTTACCTTTCCTGCGACTTTCGGAAGTCGAGCGAGCTCGACTTCGCCTTTCAGAGAAGGCAGACAAATAACTCGAGCGGTACGTTGTTTTTGTCTAACAACTAGCAGACGCGCATCAAGGAGGGAAGTCAAAGGACTCACTGGCGAGGTGTCCCGAGGCGCCGAGGTTTGTTTGCTATTAACCGAGAGTGAGCGTGTTAGTGTCCGCAAGTTCCCTCCCAAAAACTTTTTCCCTCCTTTCATGTGCGGCGAGACTCCACACTCTCGGTTTGGCGCGGTTGGCGCAGTTAACGTCATCTGCTTTATTTCTGCTAGTCAAAGCGATGGCTGCTTTACCTTTCCTGCGTCTGTCGGAGATTCACCGCTTTTTTACTGGCGAGAGTCACCGTTGCCTCGGAAAACAAGGAGATGACAAGAGGAAGAGATTGACCTCTTAATCTAAAATTGAGGTCAGTGATCAAAGTATAATACGGGAAGGGTTCACAAGGCTTGCGCGGGCATATTCCATTCAGCACGCCAGCCGATCGTGGGCAGACTGTCGCCGATTCACGGAGTGCCTGCTAGGCCTAACTGCCGAACTCGATTGGTCGCGTTCGGTGGAATCGTGGCCTTTGGAGCTTTTCCCGGGTGTTTGTGGATCCAGCGTTCTTGTTCGTCGTGGTCTGTTTCAAGTATTTCTTGCTTTTTTCTTGCTGCTTGAAGTCGAGACGCGTGAGAAGCGCACATAGAAATATATATAAACGTCCGTGGGTCGTCGCGACCGCGACGCTGTCGGCCATGCTGATTTGATCGTAAGAAGTGCGTAAGACAGCTTCGGAGCTGTCGTAGGATTTCGTCGTAACCTGCGCAAAACGTACGAAAATTTTGTTTCGTGGATACGAATTTGTTCTTAAGTTTTGTCTTGCACACATTTTTGGCGTAAGATCGTTTCGTGAATCTGCCCTCTGCACTTCCGAAAGTTGCAGAAAAGGTAAGACAGACGCAGACGACGTTGCGAGCAGACAACGTTGCAAAGGAGCAGACGACGCTGAGATAGGGGGTCGCGATCAGCCAATCAGGGCTCAGCGTTCTGACGTCACCGCTACCCCCTGCGCAAGAAGCAGACGAACTTGCCCTATGCATAGCTTTACTCTTAGTAAAGCTATACGCACTACGCCGTGCATCTCGACCGGAAACTGGTATACGCACGGCGCTAAACTTGTTGGGTCTCCTTTAAAACTAATGGTCAAAATTAGGGGTGTCACGAACAGGTGGAGGTTCGAGCTCGACTCAGGTTCGACTGCTATGGGCATGCGCGACAGGCTGGCCAGTTTACTTTGGCTAAGGGCTGAATTAAGGGTAGCACTGATTGGTTATTTCAGTTAATACTGTACACAAAATTAAGTTATTAACTTCTTTCGTGATTAGAATTAGTTTCTTTTAATTGCAACTGTTCATAAAATTAAAATAACCCTTTCATTAAAAAAATTCTCCAAACCTAGGCATGCTTGTATCAAGGTCTGGCCACACCGTCCACAAAGTCAAACCGTTCGAATGTGGTTAAAAGTTTGAACTTCCGTCGAACCTTGAAAGTTTGATCTAAAAATCCTGTTCAACAAAAGTCCGCGACACCCCTAGCCAAAACCAGCTTCTCAAGCGGTGGCATAGCCAACATTACTAGGTTACCTCAGTTGTGGAACTCCCGCGGAAGGGGGCACTTCCCTCACTCACTTCAGTCCGCCTCTCGTCGTTTGAAGCGCCATCTAGATTTTCGTTTCATAACTGTGTTTTCCATAGAGCAGAGCTGGAACGCCGTGTTTCGAAACATACAATCGGCAGCAAAAGTTTGCGGGGCACCGGAGCGTGCGCCGAATTGCGTTGCTGTGCTCTCTAACGATGCGTCGCAGCATTATAGAGCCACGCTTTGCGCATGCGCGCCCTTCGTGCCTCCTATCTTGTGTTTTTTGCTCGCTTCTATCCATCACACTCCCGATGATTGGAACCGGCGCCAGGGGCACAAGTTGACGCTTCGTCAGCATGCCGTGGTTCTGCTTCAGCCGCCTTAGCCACCGCGATTGGGGACGGGGCTCGCACGTTCCCCTTCACCGAGCAGGTCACTCTCCAGATAGCTTTTCGCATCAGGTTCGGCTGCCCACGTGTTCCGGGCTGTTCTCTGCCTTTTGCAGTGAATACGCCCCTCTTTTCGATGTTCAATAGCAAAGATCTAACAGTGTCTATTGGTCAGTGATATACAAATAAATCATATATTAACTAACTCATCTTGGCACGTTCTTTATTCTGCGAAAATGCCGCCTAGAGTTCAGATCAGTGAAAGAAGATTAATCGCAGGGCTTTTCACAGAAGGAGTGTCACAGCATGAAATCCCGCCGTACAGGGAGATCGAAAACAGCCGTGAGTCGAATTATTCTGGCTTTTGGGGGGAGAGGGCAGGATTGCTGATGCTCATCGTTCTGGTCGGCGAAAGGAACTGTAGAAGGAGACCGGCTAATTTTAGCCGCGGCAGTAGCAGACCCCTTGATTAGCGCACAGCTGGATCTTAGCCTTTCCTGGGACACGATACGGCGTCGCCTTGAGCAAGTAGGACTGGAGAACTGCATGACAGCACAAAAGCTGCTTCTAACCGACAGGCAGCGCCGGCAGAGGCTCGAATTTGCTCGATTTTTGTCAAATCATTTTTACGGATGAGTCCACATTCTCTACCCGGTGGGACCAACAGCAGCATGTTTGGCGGCCCTTCAGTGTCTGGTAGGGATGACTAATTACTTTGTTAACTGAAATGAATGCTTAAATGTGTAGTCAGCCGGCTTTATCAGCTGCTCAAACTAACTGTATTTTTTATTTTGCAGCGTCTATCTGTGCTCGTATAAGCGCGTTTCCGGTTTGGATTTTACACGTATCATTGCAGCAGCTTTTTTCTTTTTCTGGCGAGACGCTACGTTCGCAGTTATTGGCTAACAAATGACTCGCACAGCTCTACGTTACGTTTATAAATAAGTGCAGTTGTTTGTGGTAATAGGAAACCCTAACACGCCACGAGTTATATACTTTTCTGTCACTGTTGCCACTCATTTTTATATAGATACCTGTCAGAGTACACACAAAGTGTGCTATAGAGTGGCCAGTGTTCTGTCTCCACTTGGGGCGCCATCCGGTTCTATGGGCACTTCAGCGCCTCTGCCTACTGCGACTTGATCGAGTAGACTCTGCTGCCCTACGTCCTGGACGGGCCATTTCCGGATGGTGCCTACCTGCGTGTAGGGTGAACACAATGCTGGGAGCTCGTGGCGTGCGGCAGCTGCAGTGGCTACCCAATGGGGCCGATAGGAAACCAATAGAAAACGTATGGGGACTGATGAAAAAACGCCTCTCATCACAAAATCTCGGCAGCCTCACGGCAGACTCGCTATGGGATTTTATAAGACAAGAGTGAGAGATTCTTTGTGGACATTCTGACACCGTGGCTGGATCCGTGACGTTTGGTCCGAGTGATTTCCGTTGCTGGCAAATTCAGTCGTTATTAACATTGCTCCGCAGTAATTCCCGCATGTTTGGTAGAACCATATAAGCTTTCTTTCTAGCTTTATTTTTTAACTTTATGCGATAAGAGGACTCGCAATATATTTTTATTTGTCGTTCTTTTTGTCTCGTGTTCCCTCTTAATTACTTTCTTCGCACACCTCGATACTACATCGTTTACCACAACTAACCCGAGGAAATAATGCATATAAAAAAATTAGGGTGCAAAATAAGGCTCCTCTTTATTTGGCACCATTTCTTTTTTCTTTATTTAGCTCGTTGGAGCTCGCGGCGCAGATGTTTCGAAGCTGGCCGTGGCACGGGACATTTCACTGCGGTCATTGGCAAAATCAGTGGGCTTCAGTAAGGTTGCTATTGTACATTAAAAGTAAAAGTCAGTTGTTGCGCAGTGCGCAGCCGAGCCTATCGTGAAACGTTAACACGAGAGTGATCCGCTCTGCGAAGGAAAGTGTGCGAGCTCCGTCGCCTAAAGCGGCGGCTGAGGCAGGTGAAGCAGACGCACGACATGGCAGCTGGCCAAGCGGCAACTTGCGCCCCTGGTGCCGGTTCCGGTTATCGGGAATGTGTCGGACGGAATCAAATGAAAACGACATGATTGCAAGCACGAAGGGCGTGCATGCGGAAAGCGGGGCTCTTTAAGATGGCGGCGCACCGTTAGACGACGCAGCGATGCATTTCGGCACGCGCTCTGGTGCCCCGCAAACTTTTGCTCCCGACTGTACGTATTACATAGCAGTTACATATTGCAGTTACCCTAGCAGCCGTCCGGCGCGTCAAAAGACGTGAGGCGAGTCGTGGGCTGTGTTCCAAATCTTACCCGAATGGATCGTGTCACGTGACAACACAGATTGAAAAACGCTGGACGCGGGTAGGTTTTAGTACGCCAAGATACAAAACCTTTACCCTAGAGTAAGGTGGAGTAAATTTTGGAACACGGCCGTGGTGAGTGAGGGAGGTACTGCTCGTGCAAGCAGCGTCTATGGGCACTTCACTAAACTAAATGGTATGGGCCTCCGTTTCCGGAGGTGCAATGGGGGACAGCGGGGCTTGGGTTGCCGGCTGGACCCCTCAAAGTAACGTGTACGGAGAGCCAAGTGGGTTAATAGGTTAGTAAGTAGCAGCCACAGACTGTCGCCGCGAAGCGGAGTAAACGCAGGCGGGGGGTAGGTTAATGTGCTCCCCAGTGATACATGCGCCTTCCGAAAAGGGTGGCCCAAGTGGCATGAGTTCAACGTGTCGTGCGTATAGCCATTCCCTGTCGAGATGCACAATGTAGTGCGTATAGCTTTACTTTTTTCATTTCAATGGGAAAATATGTTTGTGCTCGCTACGCAGCTCCATAGAGGGTGTACTCCGAAAATAAATTTACGGTGTTTTTCAATAGCAAAAATAAACTATGCATTGCAGAACGCTCATTCTCTCCCCAAACGTAGCCCTAGAGGTCCAACCAGACGCCAAATTTTCAGCACTAAAAATTATCCTATTCAAAATTTTCTGAAATTTTCAATGGGAAAATGACGGCCGACAGAGCTCTCGAATACGTGGAGCTCTGTGGTGCCTGTAAAAGAAAATGGGCGCCATTTTCCCATTAAAAATTTTAGAAAATCGCTCGTAACTTTTGAATAAGATAACGGTTGGTGTTGAAACTTTGGCATCTGGTTCGCAGCTCCAGCGCTACATTTGGGCGGAGAATGAGTGTTCGGCGATTTATGGATGGAAGGATGCACGGGGAGGGCATCGCGTGACTTTTTTGATGCCCAGCCATTAAAAGTTTCAATTTGAGCCACAAAATGAGCTGCGCTTAGAGTATCGGCAGTCCGTTCCCCGACATTGCTGTGGGCGCCGCCATTTTGGTGCTTGTGCAGAGCAGATGGAACTGTCACTTCCTCAGCCTTAGTTTCATTGTTAGGAAGCTCACTTACCATTGCTTTGCCCTGTCGCCAACTGTTCAAACATTTGTGGAGGATGGAAAAGCGTTTCCTGGGATTTTATATAAAGCTTGAGATAACTGGCAACCATACTTTTAAGCCACAATATGGCCAAATGTCGTTACTCTGAAGCGTAGCTTATTAGTGGCAGTGGTTTAAATGATAGTGCACTCAGGTGTGAGTTGGGTGGTTGGTTGCATGGGACGTGGCATTAGCCTCGTGCTCGCTTCCATCTGGTAGGGTTTACGTGAGTGAAGCCAAGGCAGGACGGGCTAGGCCTTGGCGGCCAGGCCCCGAGGAGCGGACGAAAGACTGCGATCAGCTCGTTGAGGTCCGTCGCGAATTCCGAAGGTTTGTTAACGCACAAAACTCAAAGAGCGAACGCAGTGCGCTAGGTGTCAGCTGAGGCGAGACCCTGATGGATGGGCGATGGGCCACGACGAGAGGATGAGCCGATCTGCCGAGCAGTTTGAGTAAATGAAAGTGTGTGACGATGCCATAGACCTGAATGCCCTAGACTCTAGACCCCTAGACTTGGTCTTTTAAGCTTATCGTCACTATTGGCTGCTACATACACTCCTGGATGCCTCTGCAAAAAGAGCAAATGTCAAAGCTCTAGGCACCGTCGCGTGTCGGACTGTTGTAAGCTCGAAAGCCCAGCAGGAGGGAAGTTCCACGGGTTTCCGTCGACTCGATGCCGTGGGAAATGCGACGCGGACGGAGATGAGTAAACGCCGCGAGACGCGTAAGGTAAGCACTCCGTTCACTCTAAAGACCGCAAGGGGGATTTCTGAGTTTGTTCTTCGACTCAATGTTTGAAATTAATGCGCGTTCAATACAATCAATCTCTCGATATCCTCACTGCTCCACTCCGCCGACGCACATTTTTCTAACAACATTTTGCAGGCAGTCTTGCTAATAGAGAGAGAGTTTTAGTAGACCGTTTCTGTGCACCCCTTGTGCCCCGTGGAACCGGACGACTCGTGATGGATGTTTCTGTAGTTATATTTACGCGGGAGAGCGAATGTGATACAGGGACTGTCATGCTGCTGCTGCCGCTAGCGGCAGCTCAACCCCAATAGTTGCACCTCGGCCCCAAGTTCCTTGCCGCACACGGCAAGTTCCTTCGGAAAGTGGCCTCTTCACCGACGATGTCGGCGGCAAGAAAGTGCTCGTTTAATTCAAACTGGACGAACCCGAATATTTTGGAATATGCAAGTTGGATTAAACCCGTGCAAAATGATCCTCACAGTGCCCAATGCTCAATGCCTTGTGTTGTAATGGTCTTATATATTTATCCGCCTCTACATGGGTCAGGGAAAACCTGGAAAAGTTAGGGAAATTCAAGATAATAATTTGATAGACACCCTGATTTTTGGCCATGTTGAGGAACATCTTTGCTCAATAACTATTAGTATTCCTGCGATATATACCGGGTGATTCAAGGAGACGGCAGGCTCTTTAAATCGTCCGGAAAATTCGGTTTCTTAACCTATCGCGCTACGACTTCGTGCAGCGTTGCCCACAGATGGTGCATTTTGTTTTGTAAAATTTGCAAAGAGCGAACTTACCTGAGGAAAAAGTAAAGAAAGAAAAAGGCTTAGCTCCTATGGAAATGCAGCGACGCCACCGGTCTTCAAACAACACGGCGCCATTTCGCACGGGAGACAAGAGATGGCGGAACAAACGCCGCCAACGAACGAGCATAAGGCGCCGAGAGCAGGCCTTTTTAGCAGACAATCTTTTCGACTCAAAAGCGGCGCGCGTTCCGCAGTTGCAGAAACAAAAAAGACAGGTGCGGTAACAGCATGAAACTGCAGTTCCTTGTCTGCTAAAGGGCCGCCTTTGGCGTCGTCTGCTCTTTCGTTGGCGGCAGTTGGCGTCGCGACCGCTTGCGCCATCTCTTGTCTCCTGTGCGAAACGGCGCCGTGTTGTTTGAAGACCGGTGGCGTCGCTGCATTTCCATAGGAGCTAAGCCTTTTTCTTTAATCACTTTTTCCTCGGGTAAGTTTGCTCTTTGCAAATTTTACAAAAAAAAAATGCACCATCTGTGGGCAACGCTGCACAAAGTCGTAGCGCGATAGGTTAGGAAACCGAATTTTCCGGTCGATTTAAACAGCCTGCCGTCTCCTGGAATCACCCAGTATATCATATTGTTCCATATTTTTTGTTTTTTTCCACTTAACTAAAATTATTTAAACCAATCGAAAAGTAAACTTTTTATAATTTTTTTTTTTCATAGCACTGAAATTTTAGCTCTATTAATGTATTAAAAGATGTATAACACAAAAACTGTTAGGTGCATATTTTTAATGCTAGCTCAGTACTTTTCAACACCTATGTAGATGGCAGGAATAAAACATCAACCCTCTATAATGGCGGGTTAAGGAAATAATCGTACCTATTTACTGAAAAACACTGTTTTGACATAATTGAGTTTAAAGTAAAAAAAAAAGGGTGAATAACAAATTGCTATTGGTGGCAACACCCTCAGAGACGATCATATCTTCAATGGCGGCCAGCTTGTTAGCCATGTCTTCACTTTTTGGCTCATCGCCTTGCTTGTCTATTTGAGTGTGGTCAACTTCCCTCAGCCACTTGATGGTGTTCCACCTAAGGTTCAATCCACAGGACTTGGAAAATATGTGCTCATGCGACGCTACCACCATTGAATGAAGGAACAGCATCAAATGTCGCCATTTCGTCGTTCAAAGACATGGGCGCTTGAAAGTATGCACGCAGAAAGAATGTTCACAGCGTCTTGGAATTGTCTTGGTTAAAAAAGGGCTATCCAATAGTAGTCAGGTAATTTCTAAGACGTAGCTCATTCTGGACATGCTTTGAGATATGGTGATGATTTTTTTTTTCTTTTGTTGGAAAATTTATGGATAAACAGGGAGCGTATCTTAAAGGGGTGTGGCCACCCGCTACTTGATTTAGGAAAGAACATTTTTTTTAGTATGAACTGTGACTTTCTAAGAACAGTGTGACAATGGAAAATGTGTGGAAAGAAATGAACTTTAATAGAAAACTAAAATAATTTCCTTAAAATATTTTTGTTTGCCCTGTGCCCTTAACAGCACATGCCAATGGTCACTAAGGAAACAGAACACACAGTAAAACGAGCTTCGACTACAAATAACTAGTTCAAAAAGGCACACAAGACACAGGGAAGTAGGGGTGATCTGGATGGCATGCGCAAAGCCCCTGGGTCGGGGTCCAGACGTAAAAACGCAGCAAAATGTTTCCCTGTAATGTCCGCACAGGCACACCCATAGTCAAATGGAAGACCAGCAAGTTGGAGGTGATAAGGAGCGATGCCCTTTGTTGGTTACTATCGGAGGCTGTGCGTTGTGAGAGATTTAGGTTTGCACCCCATTTAGAACGAGAATCCTGGGAGAGGTGACCAGAGACGCAAGCGTCTTTTGTTTGGAGATGAAGGATGAGTGCGTTTTTTCATAAAGAAGCAGCGTTCATAAGCTTTGGATGCAGGGGTGAGGGGGTGAGCTTCTCTTTGGATGCACAATTTCGGCATATCTGCTCTCTTCACCCAAAATACGCGAACAAATGAACCAAACGAAATACAACATTTTTGGCGGTGCCAGGTGTGCACCTTTTGTTCTCCCGATTACTGATCAGGCATGCTAGTCATTGCAATGTGTCTTCTGGGCGTTTTTCTATGTCTCTCGCGAATAACGGATCGTATCTAATTGGAGGTGTTCCAGAGGCACGTGCCACGACCTCGAACAGCACTTGCCAACATCTCTCGCTTCCAGGCTTTATCAACACTGCTAAGGGCCACGTAGCCATCTAATGGTTATGCCATATTACGGACAATCGTTTACGCGCACAGAAATGGGGAAAGCCCGACGACTTGGAGAATAGTTACCACTTGGTGTTCCGTCTGCACGCACCTACTTGGTTGTGTTTTCTGGCAGTGGTAATACGTCTCCAGCCCAACTGCGAGTGGTGAGCTCCGAGGGGGTGTCTGCTTGCAGGAGGAGCCCTACACGCCCCTGGGCAACGTTGCCTTCCCGGTGACGGAGGAGGCCGGTTCTGCGGAGGAGCAGCAGCTGCGCTCGTTCCAGGACCTGCTCCTGAGGACCTTCGAGCCTCAGCCAGACCTCGCCATGCCCATCTCCACGCCGTACCCCCCTCCCGTCTGCCTGCCCAGTGAGCCTTCCTTTGTGTCCACGAGGCAGTCTGCTGTGCACGCGAAACGGGGGATCAAAAGAAGTGACTTGCAAACACTGGGGTCTCCGTCCAAATCGTAGTGGCCGAGACCAGGTGATGGTTTCCCGACATTATGCAGTTCAAAAGTTGCTAGAAATAAAAATTTTCAATGAGGAAATTGCGGCTAAGGAAGCCCGCAAATAGATGGAGATAAATGGTGTGTGCTGCTAAGACCAGACCCTATTTGCTTTTTCTAATAAGTTTCCGAAAATTCCTGTTAGTGATTGTAATTTTTTCAACTCTGTCATCTGGTCTTAACTGGTAGCGCCTCCACAGTCCCTAGTACAGGATCCGGAATAATTTTTTTGCACATTGGGAAGTTTCTCTAGGGAAAAATGGAAGCACTGACGTTAGGAGTTGGTGACGTTGTGAGTCAACCAGTCGGGTCGCTCGGAGAACCTAGCAGATGATCGAAGCCGTTGTGGAGAAAAACACATGTGCTTGTTCATAAAATCCATTAGAATCGTGAAAAAGATGTATGACTGGAAACATATATTGAGGCTTACATGTTGTATTATTTTGGAATAATTGACACGCCACATTAAGAGTGCCTAGTCTGCTTTGAAAACATTACCATAAATGTTTTTAGATTTTGTTTTCTTTTTCATCTGTGCCGCCTGTGACCTTTCCTAGTGCGGCAACTGACAAGGTTTCCAGACCAGTAAGTAGTTTATCTGAGGATTTGGTGCTATGTCTGGACTAGAGCTTAGTGAGTGGGCAGGCCACAGGCTCCGCTAATTCTTTCGGTTGAAGCGTGCAGAAAATTGGCGTGGTTGCACGGTTGATTCCAAGTGGCTCGCGTGGCTTTTCGGCGTAGCAAATTGTTTGCATTGGCAATAATGGGAGCAGACTTGGCCTCTTCCTCACCCAAGTTTCGTAAAACCTTTATCGTTGAGGCCTGAAACTAGGGTCAATGACGAAACAGTATCTAAATGCACGTAGCGCCTAGCTCGCATGATGTGGTACGCCCAGAAAACAACTTAACAAGCAAGCATCTCTTCCAGAGAGAAGCGCAACAGGCTGCCATTAGCCGCATAGGGAGAAGCTGCAGGGTGCACGGTGCCCACACCTATTTATATATCTTGCACCGTGTTCTGGATGTGGTCGCTGACAACAGCAGTTCAGTCATCACGCGTTCTGTTGAACTTGTCTGTTCCAAAATTACACTCACTGAAAATTATAACACCACGTCACACACGAATAACACTATAGAGCTAGCAAGTTCATATGTTATCATACTCCCTTTCAAACATTGGCACGTAGTTTTCGAAGTGCATGTTTGGCGGTGTTGAACATTTACTTTCAAAGCTTTGGAAGGAAAGTACCTCATATTAGTTCTAGGTTGTACGATGCCTCCTGCCAGTAGCGACGAATACAACTAAAGCGAGACAGCAACAACAAACTACCTAGGTAACGACCTTCAGAGGGAAATTTTAACAGTTGCTTGCATTCGTCGAAATAGAGCACCTGAAATCTGGGCATTGTGATGGCGGCTACAGTCTTCTGCCAATCCGAGGAGCCCAAGTGTCTGGGAAGATGGCGAGCCTTTTCTATAATGGCATACGAGAATGCGTTGGCGAATGGTCGGAGATGAATTGTTTCCCTCAAAATGGCTCGCTGAAACTCCCGTAATAGCCTTCATTTATCGATGGTCTATGCAAATAGGAGTTGACTATGCGATGGTCCCTGTGGTCCCAGTATTGCAGACAGTAAGCATGGAGTTATGGCCCTGGTACTCCTCTTTTATTGCCACGGATGGACGCCGAGACATCTGGGACAAGCTGGTGAACCCCACCAGTAGGAACTAGAATGCCAGTAGGAACTAGAATCATACCCCGATGCTTCCCCGAATCAAGGATGCATGGCAGAGCAGGACCCGGTTGAAGCCACTTTACTCGTAGCGCCCTCCATTCTTAACAAAGCTTTAGAGTTAGCACTCTGGTGCCCCCCGCCGGTCATTTCTAGGGCACGTTAATTTGGACGGAGACGGAGTGTTTGAAGACTTTTGTGGTGAGGAAAGTTCCCTTTTTTCTCCAACGCCCGATATACAAACGTAAAGGGTGCTCAACTATGCGGAGTAAAATGCGTATAGAATGTCAAGCTCACGAGCGAGTGAACGCAGATAAGCGCCACTAAATAAGGTAAGATACCTTGCGCAACTTCCTCTTAAAATTAGCGTAGTTGTTAAAAATAGAGGCTCGCGGGTCCGAAATTGTTTATAAGTTTCTGCATTCTTGTTACTGGCAACGGTGTACATTGTGTGTGAGTGCAAAACATGCTCCCGTTAAAATGAGCATGCATGTCAATATTGAGCGTGCATCTAAATTCGGAGCACCTTAACTGATGGAGGACGGCCGAAGGATCGCGGCAGTCTGCGAGCGGGCCTCCGGAGGGGATTAGGGAAGCTCGCAACGTGGAGTATCCCTTCGGCCAGGCGGCAGACGACGGAGCGGCCGACAGAGAGGCTGATTCCCAGCGTACTTCGTGCATCGCGAAAGGGTCCCGTGGCACTCGTTTCTTGTACAGATGGGCGTGCCACGTTGCGTTTTAATTTTAAAAAGACGCCTTTACTGGGAACAGTTCTCGAGTCAGCAAATTTGGTTACCTATTGAGCGCTAAAACCTTTTCAATGTAAAAACTAGTAACGAAGACAAGGACGCAGTGGCAGATTCTGCCGCACGTTCGTCAGAGGTGATGTTGCACGGAGTAGTTTAGGAGTCGTCGAACGACCGCACTCTCTCCACACACGCGCGAGCGGAGATGACGCGGTGTCACCCCGCTGCGTTCCACGGTGCGTGTCCTATCGTGCGGGCGCAGTGGGGCTCGGTGCCCATGTCTCCGACCGGCGTGCTTATTGCATCCAAAATCCCTCGATTTCCTCCCGGCGAGGTTGTGCGAGTGTCATGCCCGCAGACGTCTGACGGCGGGACACTCTGGTTCGTACGAGGTCGTTCGTTGCCGGGACCACTCTGGATGTGCGGGCGGGACACTCCCGGGGGCGTAGTCAAGCCGGGGACTGAGCGCGGTGCCCTGCGCAGGTGCGGCCACCCTGACCATCGTGGAGCAGCCAATGAAGGAGACACGGTACCGCTACAAGAGCGAGAGTGGCTCCCACGGACCCCTCATCGGCGAGTCGAGCACGCCCCAGAGGAAGACCTACCCCAGCGTCAGGGTGAGCTCTCCCGGCCTCTGCATATTACACCCACTCTGAAGAAATCTCGGCCCCGTCAGCTCCCACTTGGAGTACCAATACGTGGCCGTGCGCTGTGTTTGGTCATGAAAATGTCCGGTTGGAAACTCGTCGTCATTGTGAGTCGCAGATTCATAAGGGGAATGTTTCTGCCACTCGGGACGGAGTTTTATTCGGATTAATTGAGAAAAGGCAAAAGGCAATCTTGCCTTTTCCCATTGGCCATTGTGGGGCATTTGATTGGGCAAAATGGGGGCTCTTTGCTTCACTCTCTTTTTGTTTTCATTACAACCCCTTTTGCGTTGGCGGGGAAAAAGTCTGTCTCCGTATCGGTCCGTAGGAGCTTGGTTGTTTCTAGTTGTAACTTCTCTTCGAGACAAGTTCTCCCTTTGACATTATCAAAAAACAAATGCACCCCGTAGCTGCCTTTTGCTGCTATACAGTATCATAGCTCGCAAAATTAATTTTTGGGATCAATTTACAATCGGCGTTTGGCCTTCTGCCGGCAAGACACCGACGTCCTCAGTAATAAGGTGGAGGTGGTGTCCTTTTGGGCAAGTGAAACCAAGGTATTATTGTGGACGCCCCCAAACGCACGACCTGTCTCCCAGTCGGCGATCGCCGTTCCGTCCTTCGTTGCGTGCGAAGCAGACGTTGCCACCCGCCCTCTAAAGTATTGCAGGCGGGAGAGAACACAGTTATGGGAAACGAAAGAAATGGACTCTCAACCGTAAATGAGACTCCGCAACACAAAAAACTTGGAGGAGGCCTTTAAGAGTGGAATGCCATTATTGTTCGCATGGCCTTCTCATTCGCTTCTCCCACTCTCTCTGCGAGTGAGCAGGAAATGCGGCAGGCACGGCCTAGTGAGTGGCGTGTCTGGCTTGCAACCAAGGGGTTTTTAATCCAGGCTGAATTTTTTCCACTTTTTCTTTAAGGCAAATGTATGAATCAATATCATTTGAGACGCGCGGCGACCTATAATTCGCATTATGTGTCACGCTTTTTAATCACTTTCGTTCCACGCGCGACGTCACATTTCACAGGAGTGTTGTGGGCTGTTCGAAATTTCTGCGCGAGGTGACGTGGCTGTGACCTCGTGACCCTATCGACCGATCGGGATTTTCGCGTCACTCTTTTCTGCGACACGAGCTCCCTAAAGGCCGACGTATAGCCTCGGATTTCTGCAGGGAAGATAATCCTCTTAGCTCCCCTTTCCCCTAAGCTGCGGGGGAAGTCAAGTTGAAGTGAAGAGGATAGAGGGAAGGAGGAGGTAGGCAGAAAGGGAAAGCGCAAAGTGTACGTCGGCCTTTAACGCGTTGCCTCGCTAAAAATAGAAATGATTTCTAGCGAGTATACTAGACAAGCACTGTGGTGGAAGCCCTGGCGGCTGTCGTAGGACGCCAGCAACTCGCGTATCCGTCGGGACGGTGTAATGGAAGGAACAATTGTGCGCGTGGTCGGTTGTCGCGGTTGCTTGCGTGAACACCGTCTGCACGTCTATTTTGAGAGATTTTGTTTTCTGGGATCACGCTTACCAATGTCTTCCTGTCGCTGCATCTACCCTTTCTTTCAATATTGGATCTCTGGAGCTTTAGAGCGTTCGGTCCAATTAAATAATAATTTCTAGCACGATTACTTTAACTGTTTATTAAAATTCAAAAGGTTACACTGATTACATGAAAGAATACGTGAGGTCCACGTCTGGACTGTGTCTTCTTTTGGCCACTTTATTGCCGACAGGCTAGCTTCTACATCTTCCCGCCGCTGCATTACATAGTGATTGCTCTTTAAGCTCCCGTTGCTTTTCCTGGAGTCGATGCGTACCCGGATTTCGCTGTCTTTTTTTCGAAACAATAACCGGGGGACCCGCCCAGGACAGCTGCCCACTCCATGCGTTCCTCCCGGCTTCTGCGGGGCCAGTGGTACCTGTCTCGCTGCCTGGACGAGTGACACTCAGAACCATCCAGTACACTTGCCAGATGCAGCCGGCCAACAAGACGCATACCTCGCCAGTTGTGTCTTATCGGTCCCAACCGCCGATGCAGTTGTCGCGTGACCTATAGATGGTAACCATGGTAACTGTCTAGGCTCAATGGTGCTAGAGCTGGCGACGTAAGATGGCCGACTGGTGCCCGCATTTGCGGAGGGGCGACTGAAAATCCAGCAAATCGTCGCAGAGGTTGATGGCTTTATCATTAAAGGAAGACTCGCTGCCGAGACGGTGTACGCTTGAATCACGTGCCTCGCAGAGTCAGCGAGAGTTGACTCTCCCTGCGCCTCTTGCGAGCCTGTTCCGGATTTCGACACGCTGCGTGCATTTTGATTGCTTGCTTTGCAGAGCTAGCGAGAGTCACTGGAACGTGTTCCAAACATCGAGATTCTATGCGCTTAACGGGTGCGTTACGGCATCGTCCCAAAGAGGGAGAGAAAACAATTTTTCAAATGCGCCTGAGAATGGTGGAATCGCGTGTGTCTTTCTGATGAATTAAGTTATGCGAAAACACACTTGCAGTGATCAGCCTGTTTCCAACGCTTGCCCAGACTGCCGAACGTGCTTATGGCCACCTGCAAACATACACGCAGAAAGAACTTGCGCAAAGTTTCTTCCCTTTTAGTCTCTTACCGTCTGGAGCTCCCTCCAATCCACTTTCTTTTTTTTCTTCCTTTTTGCAGATACTGTAGCGTATTTACAACATGCTGTTCAGTCACGCCAAGGTAGTGCACACGCATTGTGCACATCCGAGGCGCCATGTTTTACGTACGCTCTCCCCGCAGCGTGCGAGCTCTCGGAAGAGAAGCGCTTTCTGGCACGCTGCAACGCGGGCTCTCAAAGTTTGTGTTACAATGCGTGCTCGTGACTTTTATTCTAATGAAGTGAAAAGCGGCTTTATTGTGGCTCCTTTGCGCTTTCAATATGCAATAACAGAATGGCACCCATTACGAAAGCCTATCTTATATGCTGCATAACCGTGACGTGTAGTGTGTGCAAAAAAGCACTACTTTTTTGGGCAAATCCCAGTTATAGCACAACGCGGCTATAGCAAACATATTTCGAAATTGCGTCGACTTCATTATAGCCGGGTTTGACTAGTTTCTCCAAGATTTTCCTCTGCTGTGCATCGTGCTAAAACGAAAATTCAGCTGAACTTGCATTTCCAACCTTCCACCTGTCCACTTCCAAGCTCAGTTATCTTGAATATAACTATATGAACTGCGGCACATAAACGACAGATTTGTTGCGGCTATCCTAATCGAGGGGATTTACGTACATATGCTCGCTGTATGCTGGGGTGGGCAAATATTTGAAATTTCAAATAACTAATTATTCGTATTCGATTCGTAAAGTAAGTCATCGGTATTTTTAAATATTCGGAACGATACGAATGTTCGAGACAAGCAGAATATTGGATAACGCATTTCAAAGCTCCAGTTCTGCTTGCGGTTTTGAAGAGCAAAGCCAATGAAAGCCCGCGTCGCCAATTGGGTGGTTTGGACTTGGTGCCCAGTGCATCCCATCGGCGATACGGTAGCAGCAATATACAGCCCTAGCGTTCCTTTCTGGCTGTTTAAGACGTGATATTTGTGCAGGTTTTGCAGTGTGCATCCTGCACCATCAAGATTGCCGGTCTTAGCAGCCCACTAATGTGAACTTGTTAGGAGCATGCACTCTAAACAGTGCCCTCTATACACCTTTTTTGCCTACTTTTGCCACCTGGTAGGCATATCCGGTATGGGCGACGAAAAAATAATGAAACGTTTCAACCCCCAAATATTAAGAAAAATAGAGGGGAGACAAAACCAGAATGGGTGACGGTTGTGCTCTTGTATTCTATTGGCAACGACAAAACAAATTGCCTTTGCCCATACTGGAAGTGGACATATTTCAATATGGCTGCGCCCTTGCAAAAAAAGGTGTATGCCGTAGTTACTCATATAATAAACGTACCCCCCACAACGGGCATCAATACCATATTTACACAATTGTAAGTCGACCCCCCTCCACATTGCACATCAGAAAAAAAAAATCTTTAGATGCGCATTTTACTGCAAACACGTGAGAACGGCAAAGTATCTGTTTCGAAAGCCGAGCCTCCAACACGCGATCGATGCCTTCTGGCTTGCCTTGGCTGTGCATGCACGTGCGAGGTGCACGATATGGTCAGGCGTTATCGAAACTAGGAAGTTCACGCTGGAGGCGGGACAACTGAAGCTGCTTACTCTCGTTCTCACTCCGTCCGGAACTAGACTACGACTTGTCTGCACTGGTGATGTCAGTCTCGTCATCACTGCTACGTTCTCGAAGCACGTCTTCGGCGTCGTCGAACAAAATCTCGTACTTCGCAAATGACAGGAATCAGGATCGACCGCATCTTCCGCGCTTGCTCGGTGATCGCGTTGCATGTCACGGGTAGGGACCGATTGCACTTTTACGGCGTACCGTTGCAAGCCTGACTTCCAACTTTGGAACCAGACTTTGGCCTACGGAAGCCTCTTTGTTTGCCGTCACAGTTTAAGATCCCGCACCACTGCAGACTCTGCTGGGGCATCACCCGCTCTGACGGGTCGAAATTGCGTCCAACAGCGCAGTTGTTGGTTGCTTCTGAGTGAAGAATGGCCATAAACGAGCACCGAAAACCTAAACTGCTCGGATCACGCGTGTCAATACAAAAAAACGTAGTTGGCGCTCCAGCATGATCTCGTCACTCGATCAAACGATATTGTTACAATTTCTGCTTTCCTTTTTAACTGGTTTAATCACCACCCAGGGAGGTCCGACATCTTCGGTGGCTGGCTTCCAACTGCCTCGCGCACACGCACGAGCACGACGAGCGTTCCCTTCGTCGCGTGCCGGTTGCTTCTCTTTTATGTTTTTTGTTCACCCCGCACTCAGCGTCTCCGCTACACTATCCCCCTCCCGTCCTTTGAAGACCAAGCAAGTCCTACAGAAGTCCCTGATACAAACACAGCCGGTCGCGGTG